CAGAGCTTTGGGGTTTAGGGTTCAGGGTTTGGGACTTCGGGTTTCAGAGCTTTGGGGTTTAGGGTTCAGGGTTTGGGGTTTAGGGTTTAGGGTTTGGGGTTTAGGGTTTAGGGTTTAGGGCTTAGGGTTTAGGGTTTAGGGTTTAGGGTTTAGGGCGAGTTGTTTAGTTCTTTCTGATACAAACGCCCCGACTGACTGGGGTTGTCCTAACTATGTCTCTTCTCATGTCCTACTGTCCACACGTGACCCTAGGACCTGGATGCAAAACTGCGAGCACACTGGAACCCACCTATACCTCATTCTGGCTCCATCTCTAACCCAGTACACCTAACAGAGGACCATTGGTCACATCATTTCGAAAAGCCCGGTGCAATGTCCGGAAACCCTAAACCTTAAACTCTAAAACCTGAACCCAAAACCCTAAACCCAAAACCAAAAAACCTAAACCCTATGTAAACCCTAAACCCGAGACAATAAACCCTAAACCCTAAAACCCAAAACCCTAAACCCTAAATCCAAAACCCTACACCCTAAACCCTAGATCGGACCCTGATCTTTCCACCAGGCGACCGACCGTGCCACTGCCAGGCCGTCCCGACGCAGGTGCAGGAAGCGGGCTCGTGATGGACCAAGACCTCTTCGAGGAAGGTTCGGTTTTGGGTTTAGGGGTTTGGGTGTAGGGCTTAGTGGTTAAGGGTTTAGGGTTTCGTGTTTTAGGGTTTAGAGTTTAGGGTTTAGGGTTTCGTGTTTTAGGGTTTAGAGTTAAGGCTTTAGCTCCTAATCGAGCCACCGTATGATCTCTACATGGAATCATGCGTCCCTCCTTCAAGCGGCCTTGCGATCCTTCAATATAGGTGTAGCTCATGTAAGAGGCGCTTTGGGAAACGAAAATCAAGATCTCGGGTATTTTCGGCATAACCCTGGGCTTCATCACGCATCCAAAAGACCGACACCGTAAAGAGCGAGTTTTGCACGCCTCGGACGATTCTGGCATGTCGCGCTTTGCCGCATGGGATGCGATATAGTTAGCTTTTGGTAGCGAAGGCTCAGGAGAGCTCCATGTATAGTTAGCACCTTCAGTCTGCCCCAAGATCCCAACGCTCCCTAAAACCGAAACCCTACCCTGAACCCTAAACCCTAAACCCTAAACCCTAAACCCTACACCCTAAACCCTAAACCGCCACTGCCTCAGACTCAGAACGAGGCTTTACGGCCGTAGTGTACAGACATGCCCGAGCGCTTACACGACCATAGAACCATAGAGGAACCCGTGTACTTAGAGGCTGAGTACCCTAGCCCAACTCTTCAAACCTTTCAAGTATGGTAGGACTTTACATACCCAAACAACCGTAAACCCTGTACCCAAAACTCTATACCCTAAACCCTAAACCCTATACCCTAAACCCTATACCCTAAACCCTATACCCTACCCCCCAAACCCTGTAGCCTAAACCCAGTTCAAGGCTACCCACCTAGCGCATAAGCATACTTGGAGGGTCGGGAGACTTAGTAAATAGGTAATAAGTAGACATATAAGTACCCTACAAGGGACCCTTATTGGGGTTATAATGCTTATAGTCTATGACATAACCATTTACTAAGTCCCCCGACCCTCCAAGTAGAATCCCTCTAGAACCCCTCCAGGAGCCAACCTTGCTCGCAGAGCTCCCGCAGAAAGTCAACTCGAAAGGCGTGCTCCGGAAACCTCGGGGCTTTAGGGTTGGGTTTAGGGTTTATATAGGGTTTAGGGTTTAGGGTTTAGGGTTTAGGTTTAGGGTTTAGGGTTTAGGGTCCATAATTTAGGGTGTAGGGTTTAGGGTTTAGGGTTCTGTCTGCTTCAGGGCTTTAAAGGCCTCAAGTCATAAGGTTTCCATAAGCATTGCCTTCCATAACTATGGTTTAAGGGGTTCAGGGGGTTCGCGGCTTGGGGCTTTAAGGTTTAGGGCTCAGGGGTCAAGGACATCGGTGGAGTTCTGGCACGAGGCATTTGGAGCCCTGCAACACGGAACCTTCAAGCCCAAACCCAAGGCCCTAAACCATCAAAAGCCGGTTTGGGGTTTCGGGTTTGAACCCAATAGCCGAAACCGCAAACCCCAGGCTCTGAAAACACAGTTTGAACACATACCGAAACCTCAAACACCGACTACAGCCCAAACCCTAGAACCCACAAACCCAAACCCATAAACCCTGCGTAAACGCATAATAGATGTCACCTTATAGAAACTCTTACAGTGCCCTGCCTACACTCTGAAAAATCCTAAACCCCAGAAACCCCCTTTGTCGGAGTCTTTGCTGCCGTGACAACCCCGGTACCCGAAAATCCTGGAAACACCACCCCAAAACCCAAAAACCCGAAACCCTAAACCCTACACCCAAAGCCCCCTAAACCCTCAACCCTAAACCCAAACTGTCGAACCCGAAACCCTGAAAAAAAAAAAAACAATGTCCTACTTGGAGGATCATGGCACTTAGTAAGTAAGGTTACAAGTCCCTCAATTGGGGTTATAAGTATATATAAGCACAGTTACCTTAATTATAACCCTACTTACTAAGTCCCATGATCCTTTAAGTAAACCCTAAACCCTAAACCCATAACATTACTTACTAAGTCCTATCATCCCTTAAGTAAACCCTAAACCCATAAAAAAGTACTTACTAAGTCCCATGATCCTTTAAGTAAACCCTATACCCATAACATTATTTACTAAGTCCGATGATCCTTTAATTAAACATTAAACCCATAACATTACTTACTCCTTTAAGCTCACCCTAAACCCATAACATTACTTACTGAGCCAATACAGTACTCTCGCACGTGGTCTGCGCAGTACATGTCTGTTCTTCCTCATTTGGTCAATGTCTTCAACGGATCAGGCACTAGCCTGATGTGACCATCACAGCACACGACGAAGTTACCGGCGTAGAAGATGCTGCCGTCATACTCTAATAGCTTCGTTTCGAAGTTGAAAAGAGATTGAAACGTCTCCAAGTTGTGAGTCAGCGGACCAGTCTCAGCCTTTTTAGCAATCAGAGAATCATCTCCTCTCAAAAGCTTTAGAGCGACACCAGTATTGTGGGTGCACCAAGCAAGGGCAATGGCCAAGACTCCACTGTTTCCATGAAGAGTACTTGCATCGTCACTTTTCCGCTGGAAATGTGCTTGCACCTTCAAACCTAACCCACGGAAATTCATCGTGGTACATCACCAGCCCATTGGCGGACGATCGGAAAAGGAACTCCCTCACGAACCAGAACTTCAGCAAAGAGCATGAGCGATAGCTCATCTTGGCTATACTTGCTGATGTCCCATGACCCTTGAAGTAAACCCTAAACGCATAACATTACTTACTAAGTCCCATGATCCTTTAAGTAAACCCTAAACCCATAACATTACTTACTAAGTCCCATAATCCTTTAGGTAAACCCTAAACCCATAACAGTACTTACTAAGTCCCATGATCCTTTAAGTAAACCCTAAACCCATAACATTACCTACTAAGTCCCAAGATCCTTTAAGTAAACCCTAAACCCATAACATTACTTACTAAGTCCCATGATCCTTTAAGTAAGCCTTGAACCCATAACATTACTTACTAAGTCCCATGATCCTGTAAATAAACCCTAAACCCATAACATTACTTACTAAGTCCTATGATCCTTTAAGTAAACCCTAAACCCATAACATTACTTACTGAGTCCCATGATCCTTTAAGTAAACCCCAAACCCATAACATTACGTACTAAGTCCGATGATCCTTTAAGTAAACCCTAAACCCATAACATTACTTACTAAGTCCCATGATCCTTTAAGTAAACCCTAAACCCATAACATTACTGACTAAGTCCCATGATCACCCTAGACACATAACTTTACGTACTAAGTCCCATGTAACCCAGTGCCGCTCGGAGGCTTCTCGAGAATCCACACCGGCTCCTCGGAGAGCTGAGGGTTTGGGGCTTTGGGCTCAGGGTTTAGCGTTTAGGTTTTAGGGTTTGGGGATTTGTTTTTCGGGTTTAGGGTTTTAGGGTTTAGGGTTTAGGGCTTAGATTTTAGGGTTTGGGGTTTTAGGGTTTAGGGTTTAGGGCTTAAGGGTTAGAATTTAGACTTTATGGTTTAAGGCTTAGAGCCTTGGGCTTAGGTCTTGGGTTTGGGGTTTATGGTTTGTAGACAGTGTGCGCGCGGTGGGTGTGCCTTTTTACTTTATGGTCGCACCCACTAATCGCGCGCTTGCGTCAGCATGTAGTCCCGCCCCAACCACCCTTACTATTCTCAGTTAGGGTGTAGGGCTCACCCCCCAAACCCCCCTCAAGCGGGGCTGTCTTGCTCTCTGCTTCCCCTCGCGGCTTAGCAGAAAATGCGCGTTTGACAGCTACGCTGGATTAGTGTCGGGTTGTGGGTCCTCGCGGCCTGTGCCGGCCGCTCGACGAGAAGCAAGGGTTCCCAAACACTTCGCCTCTCGCACCCAGTCAGGCTCGAAAGCAGGGCGGAACAGAGCAGGGCAGGCAGGTCGCCGCCTCGGACCGGCGCGGAAGGCCCCGGGTCCCTGGAATCTGCCAGCCTGGGCCCCGGACCCTCCTGGTCACCGTCCTGTCGAGACGGCCGGAGCCTCGGTCGGAGCCTCGAGCGCCCATGCAAATGGTCGGCGGCGCTCGGCAGTTTTGGGCTTTGTGCTTAGGTTTTGGGTTTGGGGTTTAGAGCTTTGGGTTTAGGATTTAGGGCTTTGGGTTTTAGGTTTTAGGGGTTTAGGGTTCAGGGTTTAGGGGTTTAGGGATGAGGCGTGTAGGGTTTAAGAGTCAGGGCTTTGGCCTCAGGGTTTTGGGCTTTAGGGTTTAGAGTTGATTGTTCGGGTTTGTCCTTCTAGGATGTTGTGGCTCAAGGTAGAGAACCCTTGTAGAACCCCGATTGAACCCTCATACAACCAATAGAGAAGCCCTCAACCCGAAACCCCTAAACCCATCAACCCTAAACCCTAAACTGCCTAAACCCTAAACCGCCTAAACCCTTATACAAGCAATAGAGAGGCTTTAAAAGCTTATCTACTGGAGAGAACCTTCAGGGTTTGCAGGTCTGCGTTGCCAGTGGATTTTGCAGCTGGTGATAAAACAAAATCCTGCACTACCTTAAGGACCCTAAGCTCTGGGGATTGTGGTAGCTTCCTTATCATGGGTAATGCAGGATGTATATCATGAACAAGAGGTCGAGCATGAGAATGCGGACGGCAGCAATCCAGCCTGAATGATTAGAAAAGGGTCCTTTAAGGGCTTCATGGTTGTAGGAAGCAGCTCAACAACTAGAACAGAGTGCTGGGGTACAGCATACTGTAATAGTAATAATAAGGAGTTCAAAGGAATAGTACTGACAACTGCCCCGGCTTCCTGTAGTAGGAAGTTTCATTTGAGATGTGCTGCTTTTAGCGAAGAGCAATGTATGCCGAGAACGACGAACCCAGAAACTGTGAAACTCAACACTCTATCTACATTCTGAACCTCAAACCCTGAAGCCTAGAACCCCAAACACGGAACCTAGGCCTTACCGCGGAATCAACCAAGAAACAGGGGTGGTAACGTGAAGCACTGAACCTCAAACCTTCCAGCCAAAACCCCAGGCCCCAGACTTTGGGGTTTAGGGTTTAGGGCTTAGGGCTTTGGGTTTCGGGTTTTGGGTTTAGGGCTTTGGGTTTAGGGTTTAGGGTTTAGGGTTTAGGCACTCTAAACCCTAAACCCTAAACTCTAAACCCTAAACCCTAAACCCTAAGCCCTAAACTCAAACCTAAGCCCAAACGGCTCAACCCTGAAACCCCAAAGCCTACTTGGAGGATCATGGGACTTAGCAAGTAAGGGTATAAGTCCCTTAATTGGGGTTATAAGTAAATATAAGTATAGTTACCTTAGTTATAACCCTACTTACTAAGTCCCATGATCCTTCAAGTAAGCCATCCTTACGGCGTCTTCTTCTTCATCAAGGCACCTGGGACTCTTTCCGGACCAATGCTGCAATCCTGCCGTCGGGTGGTTACTAACTAACAGCTACACATGGGTGGTTGTCAAAATTATGGTCCCTTTTTGGGTCCTTATTATAATACGGCACCTATTATTTACGGTACCCCAAAAGGGACCAAAATTTTGACAGCCACCCACATGCAACTCAAAGAGGCTTACCTACTTGTCGAGTATTTTGGGGAACTAATGGTTTTTGACCTTTGGGAGTATGATAGGATTTTTCCCACAAACAAGTTCAAGGCTACCGACTCTGCTACTAGGTTTATGGCCTGGCTCAAGTCGGATTCAGGGTTTGAGCTTCGTCACCATAGAGTTGAACAAAGGCGTTTCGGGTTTTGCAGAGGTTTGGGGTGCGAAGTGATGGGCCTCAACACCAGGCAGAAGAGAATCTCTTCAGGACAAAACTATAGGGGCCTTTTAATAATGACTTATACTATTTTGGGGGGCTATCGTTACCAAGAGGGTTTTTTTTTTATAAAAGCCTGTTAATAATGACCTAAACTATTTGGGGGGCTATCGTTACCATAACTCTCGTAAAATGTACCCCAAAACCCTAAGCCCAGGCAGGAGCCAGGAAGGAGGAGCCTACGCAACAGACAAGGGACAAGCCTCTCGGGAATAGACCCGCAGGCCCTGAGGACGTGTATGACCTAAACCCTAAAACCTTAACCAAAAACGCTAAGCCCCGAAACCTTAGCCAAAAACCCAAAGCCCCAAACCCTAAACCTAGGGACCGTTGCAATTGTATGATTGATGTGGGCCAGATACTGCGTTCACAGGGGTGTTACACCTCAAGAGGCCTGCAAGTCCGGTAAAACCCCATGCGGTTTAGGGTTTAGGGTTTAGGGTTTAGGGTTTAGGGTTCATGCACCACAAATCTCCGTTAACTTCGAGACCACTTTGAGCCCTACAAAACCCCAAAAACCCTATAACTTCAAGACTTCTTCGAGAGTCTATAAAACCTGGGCTTAGAGTTTAGGGTTTAGGGCTTAGGGTTTAGGGCTTAGGGTTTAAGGGGCTGTAACACCGTTCACACTCCCTTTCCATCAAGGAGTTTTAGAACTCAAAGCCTTCGGTAGTGATGCGCCAGGACCTCCAGACGTTTCAGGCTGGACATGCAAGGCTTCAGGAGCTTGTGTTGCATGTTGTTTTGCTTGGAATTCCCTTTTAGGGTTCCTTTCGCGGCCTAGTGCTAGAGCTTAGGGTGTAGAGGGTTTTGGAGGTTTCAGGAGGTTGAAATAGAGCTTTAGGGGGCTTTGCAGGGATCTATGGCGTTCTTTACGTGCGCTAGGGCCAGGGGCCTAGAGGATTTCACAAGGTCTATGCGGATATTGGGGGGATTACGGATTTCGGGTTTTTTCGGATGTTCTTGCGTCAGGACATAGGATTTCGTCAGGGTGTTTTTGGTGCTTCGGCGCTCAAGGCTTCAGAGTTTATGGCTTTGGGGTTTAGGGTTTAGGGTTTAGGGTATAAGGGTTTAGGGTTTTAGGGTTTAGGGTTTAGGGGTTTAGGGTTTAGGGTTGAGAGGCTTTGGGGTACAAGAGTCGGGTACAAGGCCTCCAGGTTGTTTATGTGTGCTCCAGACACCTCGAAATCTTAAACTCAACCCTAAACGCTCGAGGCTTGCAATGTAGGGTTTAGGGTTTAGGGTTTAGGGTTTAGGGTTTAGGGTTTAGGGTTTAGGGTTTAGGGTTTAGGGAAGAGCAACGTTCGCAGGTCATCACATAATTCTCTGTTTCTGGGGGCTAAATAGGCGCCCCGTTACATGCCTAGCACAAAAGGACCTTGGTTCAACCAAATACCCGGTCGCGGTTTCCCATGAAGGCTCCACAGAAGGTTCAAGGTCTAGAAAAGTGGGGATTCCGATCCAAAGTAGAGAAGACGAACACTGAAATCCTTAAGTGTTATACTTAAGCCGACAGGTACCCTCGACAGACAAAGCTGTCCTAACCCTTGAGGAGCCTTTTTTTACACTTGCAAAACCTTCCATCGAAGCCGTACGACCTCCTTGATCTTTCGTAGTTGAAAGGCACATAGCACTCTAAACCCTAAACCCTAAACCCTAAACCCTAAACCCTAAACCCCCCTAATCCCATATCGCGGGTCCTTGTATCTGTACAAACAAGGAACCCTGCCCTGCCCTACACCTTTAAGAACACATGAACCCATCATAAACTCGTGTAGGGACCCTTGAAGAATATATAGTCCTCAAAGTTTAAGAAAACATAAACCGACCATAAACTCGTGTGGGGACCCTTTAAGAATATGTAGTCCTCCAAGTTTACGAAAACGTAAGCCGATCATAAACTCCTCCTGTAGGGGCCCTTTACAGCAATGAAACTTTCGGGAAACCACACCCTAGACCCTAAACCCTAAACCCTAAACTCGTCGGGGCTCTAAGAGATCCCTCTTAAAATCTTAAGAACCCCTTCTAAGATCTCCTTTTCAAGAAACCCAGAAAGAAGCCCTTTAAGGGACCCTACTTAAAGGATCATGGTACTTAGTAAGTAGGGTTATACGTCCCTTAATTGGGGTTATAAGTAAGTCTAAGTATAGCTACCTTAGTTATAACCTTACTTGCTAAGTCCCATGATCCTCCAAGTAAACTAAAACCCAAACCCCACTTTGGGATCTCTGAGATGCCTGGGCCAGGGCGGATGGGTCGCCAGCGCTGAGGCTTCCCCCACGACGAGGAGCCGCCGTGGACCTGTAAGGTCTTGGGTTTAGGGTTTAGGGTTTAGGGCTCAGGGTTTAGGGGGCGCAGAACGCACAGCGCGCAACCATTTGTGGACACTCTTGGAGAGTGGCCCGACGCGCGATTTAGGGCTTAGGGTTTGGATTTAGCGCGTAGGGTTTCAGACATTTAAAAATCTTAGGTGAAAAACATTAAGTCCCATGTAAAACCCATTGCGAAACCATTAATCAAACCCTATAAACACCTCAAACAACCTCTGGACTCTGAGAACCCTTTAAACCCCTTAGGAAATATTCGTCCGCTTGGCTCTTTTTCCAAGTGGCCACACGTCGAAGGAAGGAGCTGCCGGAATCCAGAGCTGCCGCGGCTCGTTCAGAAAGATCAACGACCTTTCTATTGAAGGCTTACGTTCATTCAGGGTTTAATGTACGGGCTTTAATAATTAGAATCGGGTTTTGGGGGTTCCTTGTTATAACTATAGTCTA